AAAGGGAGGAGGAGGAGGAGGAGGAAGGGGGTCTGGATCAATTCAGGGAAGATGAAGATCTCACTCTAGGGTCCACACATTACAGCGAGCCCCTCTCGGAGGCGGAGCCAATGGAAAGAGAGATGTCCGAGGACGAGGGTCTCACCCCTGATCAGGCCGCCTTTGTGGGCTTATTCAAACCTCACCCATATAAGTCATTCAAGGCCAAAAACATCTCAGCCCTGAGTACGCAGTCACCCTCTGACCCCCCCCCCACATCATTCTCGGAGGGCCAGGATGACTCCATATTTAAACAGCCCGTAGTGGAGGCCGAAGTCATTCCAACTCCACCTATCTTCTCTGACCTAGTATCAAAACAGCTGGCCTCAACAGGAGTGCCTCCCTCCCCGTCCAGCCAGGATAAAAGATATTTCAACCTCGACCCAGAATTCTCTAACCTACTAAATACCCCTGAGGTCGACGAGCCCATAGTAGGCTTAGCGTCCTCCTCAACCCCAAGCAACGCCCTGGAGGCCCTGAAACCTGAAGACAAGCGGGCCGAGCTGGCCTTGCCAATCTGATGCTTGGGCCATTCGATCAGCTACGGACGCATCCTTTTTCACCAGGTCCTCGATCCAGTGGCTCCACCAATTAAAACAGCATGTCCCTTCAGCCAACACCAGGGAGCATCAGGACATCACTAAGCTTACGGCCGCAACAGAATTCTCGGCCAACGCCACTTACCATTCAGTTAAGTTCTCTACCAGGGCGATCTCATCCCATGTCACAGCCCGTTGTCTGCTCTGGCTCAAGCATTGGCAGGCGGACGTCAAGAACAAAGTCAAACTGGCGTCAGCCCCCATTACAGGGGACAAATTATTCAGCCCAGCCCTTGATCCCTTATTGGTCGAAAGCCGAAGTAAGAAAAAATTTCTCCCCTCTCTTTCGGAGGTCAGAACCCAGAACCTCTCAGCCTTTTTGATGAGGGTCCTTTCGACCCTCCTACCAGACCCCCTTCTCTCCCAGGTTGCAGAGAGCCCCTTCCTTTCAGTCGGCCCTACCCCAGGATCAATCTGACTCGGGCGACAGGAACAGATGGGGCGACAGTTACAAAAGACCCTTTCAGGGACCAGGAAGAAGACCTTTCTGGCGCCCAAGATAGACCTCAACACTCCCCTCCCATTGGCGGACATCTCAAACATTTCGCCTGCCAATGGGACTCCTCTACCTCTGACGCCTGGGTCAGAGACACCATCAGATTCGGTCTTGCCCTTGAATTCCAGTCCCCCCCCCAACTTTTTCATGGTATCTCCCCTTTCCAAAGACCACACCAAGCGTAATCTAATGGATTCCGCTATCTGGCATCTCATCGACATAAAGGCTATCCAACCCGTCCCATCCTCGCAACAAGGGAGAGGTTTCTACTCTCACCTCTTTGTAGTCCCCAAACATTCATGAGGGTGGAGGGCCATATTAGACCTAAAAAGACTTAATCGTTATCTCATCCACCGCAAATTTAAAATGCATACATTACAATCCATCCTCCAGGGAACCAGGCAACGAGACTGGCTCACTTCCATAGACCTTTCAGAAGCATATTTACACATCACAATTTGGCCCTTCCATTACAAATTCTTGATATTTTGTTATAATAACCACCACTTTCAGTATGTGGCCCTTCCCTTTGGATTGGCCTCGGCCCCAAGGACCTTTACCAAGGTCCTTGCGACGTTAGCGGCCCACCTCAGGAATCTCCCTGTGTATCCACTGTTATCTGGATGACATCCTCATCCTGTCCCCCTCCAAACGTCAGGCAGAAAGGGACACCAGAATTACCCTCACCGCTCTCCAAGATCATGGTTTCCTTATAAATTGGAAGAAAAGTCAACTATCTCCATCTACCTGAATAACCCACCTGGGGGCAGTGATTGATACGGTTCAAGGGATGGTCTTCCTGTCTTCGGAAAGACTCCTTAGCACCCAAAAATCTGTAAGAGAGATCAGGCGATCAAAAAAGGTGTCTCTATTAGACTTGTCAAAGTTATTAGGAAAAATGGTTTCATGCATCTCTATTGTTCCCTGGGCCCATTTACACACCAGATTCCTACAGTGGTTCCTGCTTCCATACCAGCAATCCGGAAGAATCACCTCAAAATGCATGGTCAGGGTACCTCCAAGGGTCCTCACGTCCCTCCTCTGGTGGACCAAACCGGCCATCAACAAAGGTCATTACTTCAAGGAGCCCCAGAGGCTCACCCTCACCACGGACGCCAGCATATCCGGATGGGGCGCTCACATCCACTCGCTCTCATCCCAGGGCAGGTGGTCGGCGACAGAACAACAGTGCAGTATAAATTGGTTGTAACTCCACGCTGTACACCTGGCCCTACGCAGCTTCCTCCCCCAGGTACGCGGACGTCATGTCCTTATCCTAACAGACAACATCACAGCCAAAGCGCAAGTCAACAGACGGGGGCACACAATCCATTCGACTAATGAGGGAGGCCGAGCGCCTCTGCCGCTGGGCAGAGTCCAACCTCCTATCTCTCAAGGCAGAACACATCTTGGGAGTTTCAAACATCCAAGCAGACTGGTTGAGCAGGGCCACTATAGGCCAGTCAGAATGGCGCCTCCATCAGTCACTGTTCAGGGAGGCGTCCTCAATCTTCAGACAACCGGTCATGGACCTTTTCGCATCCCCGCTCAACGCTCAACTCCCGAGATTCTTCTCAAGGTACCCATCTCACGGGGCGGAGAATCACAATGCGTTACCTTGTCCCTGGCCCATGGGACTCCTGTACGCATTCCTCCCGTTAGCTCTAGTCCCCAGAGTCATCCAGAAGTTGATCCTCGAGAAGGCGGAACTGCTTCTGGTGACCCCCTACTGGCCCAGATGACTGTGGTTTGCGGACCTCTGCAACCTATCAGTAGCCCCCCCAGGAGGATCCCATCGGACAGGATCTCGCTAACTCAGGGGCCCCTTCTGCATCCAAATCGACAATGGCTCCAACTAACCGTCTGGAGGTTGAGCGGGACCGTTTAAAGAGAGAAAAGTTTTCTAACCAGGTCATCGATACCATTCTAGCTACCAGATGGCCCTCAACCACCCGTATCTATAACGCTACATGGACCATTTTCTGTAGATGGTGCCACAAATCCCAAATCAACCCTCTCTCTCCTATCGCTCAAATTCTGGACTTTCTTCAGGAGGGACTGAATAAAGGGTTATCCCCCAATACATTGAAACATCAAGTTGCAGCCTTAACAACCGTCATTTCTTGCGGCGACATTGGCTCCCTTTCCCATCACCCCCGTATTCGGGCCTTCCTTAGAGGAGCCACTAACTTACATCCTCCAACCGTACACTGGTACCCAACCTGTGACCTTAATAAAGTCCTCATTTCACTCACCAAACACCTCTTCGAACCCCTAAGGGAGACAACAATCCAGTTTCTAACATTCAAGGTAGTGTTCCTGGTAGCCGTCACATCCGCCCGTCGGATATCGGAAATCACAGCCCTGTCCGTTAGAAAGGACATCTGCATTTTTCACGCTGATCGGGTGGTTCTCCGACCTGACCCTACCTTCCTGCCCAAAGTCAACTCAGCTTTCCACAGAGCGCAGGAACTCATTCTCCCTAACTTTTGCCCCAGACCCTCGCGGGATAGGGAAAGACAGTGGCATACCCTTGACGTGAGACGTGCGCTGCATATTTACATTAAGCGCACTCAGCCCTTTAGGAAGTCGGAATCTTTATTCCTTTCATTCCAGCCCAAGACGCTGGGTTACAAAGTATCCCCGTCAACTATAGGCCGTTGGATCAGAGCAGCAATCTCTAGGTCCTACCTATCACAAGCCTTGCCGGTACCCAGTGGAATAACAGCACATTCCACTAGAAGTGCGGCTACCTCGGCAGCTTGGGCCACTCAGGCATCGATAACAGACATCTGCCAGGCGGCCACCTGGGCATCCCCATCACGCTTTATTAGGCATTTCAAGATCGATGTGTTTGCCTCAGTGGAGGCTTCATTTGGCAGATGAGTCCTACAACAAGTCCTCAGGGACCTAGAGGAGATTCCGAACCAGACGGAGTCCCTCCCGTAGGACAGGCCAAGCTTTGGTATGTCCCACTCTGGATGCTCTGAGCAGCTCTTTGGAGAAGGGGCGTTGGTTCTTACTTGATACGCCTCTTCTCGTCGAGCTGCGAAGAGCATCCAGCCGCACCCTAATTTCACCGTCTGGTGGGGAATCTTGTTTCGGCCAATGAACCACTAAGGTAGTTAGGATGAGAACACGGTTTTTTTGTCTTCTCCTCTTCGCAAAACTGGGGAACGCTACGGTGGAGTCACGTGGAGGAGGAGGAGTGTTCCTCAATTCAAGCTCAGCCTGTGAGTGCAAAGACTGGAGCACCTCCCACTCTGGATGCTCTTTGCAGCTCGACGAGAAGAGGCGTATCAGGTAAGAACCAATGCCCCTTTTGTCACATATCCGGAATAAGAAGCTAAAAAATTAGTAATTTCTCACTTCTACAGAAAATCTAAAAGCAACTTTGAAATAGTCTGTAAGGAGCCAAGGTGGCACAGTGGTTAGAATGCAGTATTGCAGGTTAACCCCGCCCATAGTCAAGAATTAGATCCTGACCAGCTTGACGTTGACTCAGCCTTCTATCCTTCCGAGGTCAGTAAAATAAGGACCCAGATTTTGGGGGGTACTATGCTGACATTTGTAAATCACTCAATGCTATAAAGTACTACGAAGCAGAACAGTATAGAAGTCCAAGTGGTATTGCTAGTGCTACTGGTCATGATCACATACTACCCCTATGAGCAGGTCTAACATGACCCTGAATGATGAGATTCAGGAGTATATGAAGGAGATAATCTGCTCCTATTCTAATTTGGATTTCGCATCTGACAGTTTGGAAAATAGGAATAGTCCAGAATGGCTTTCTCCATCTTGAAAAAAGCAAAATCTTTAAGGGTTGATGAATCATTGTTTTTTTTTTCTCTTTTCTTTCCTAGAAGATGATGTTTGTGTATTCAAGTGTTCTGTATCAAAGGAGACAGAATGCAGCCGAGTGGGAAAACAGTCCTTCATTATCACATTGGGATGCAACAGTGTCCTTATACAATTTGCAACGCCAAGTGGTATGTACTAGCTATTGTGAGTTGTATTTGAAGTTTTGAGAAACAGAATATTGCCCTGGTAAATAATTCTATGCTTTGCCAACACGTAGCATTTTCAGGATGGATAACATCTGTGCTGTTAAATAATTCAGTCTGACATTCTCTACTATGACATCATCTGCTGTTTGTTCTCCTTAATAGAAATTTTGGACCATCAAGTGGCAAAGTCATACAATGTTTAGCCCAACTCTTGTCTAAATTTTAATTTTAAACCTTTGATACTTGTACTGTATTTAGTAGACAGGTTGGACAGTTGCTGGAATATTTGGAAAAGTTAAGACATAAGAGAAAGGATATTTGTGAGAAAACCCAAAAGACAAATTTTGTTTATCATGTTAAAATTGTAACATTTTTATGGACAGTTATCTGTACTTAATTTAAATTAAACATGAATACAAGATTTTTGATGCATGTACTGTAATACTGTTCACCTATATTTTTTACATAAAAATGTACATTCTATTTTTGCCCTAGTTTTATGAGTTCTCTTGCCACAGTTGTTAAGTGAATCACTGTAGTTGATAAGTGGTTAACCTGGTTGTTAAGTGAATCTGGCTTCCCCATTGACTTTGCTTGTCAGAAGGTTGCAAAAGATCACATGATTCTGGGAGACAGCAAAGGGGATAGGGTATAGCAATAGCACTTAGACTTATGTACCGCTTTATAGTGTTTTACAGCCCTCTCTAAGCGGTTTTACAGAGTCAGAATATTGCCCCCAACAATCTGGGACCTCATCTTACCCACCTTGGAAGGATGGCAGGCTGAGTCAACATTGAGCCTGGTGGGATTTGAACTGCCAAATTGCAGGCAGCCAGTAGTCAGCAGAAGTGGCCTGCAGTATAGCACTCTAATCATTGCATCACTGAGGCAAAGAGGATGCTTCTGTAATCATGTCTTGCTTGATGGCTTCCCAGTAGGATTCAATTGGCTGCTCTTATCTTCTGACAAAGTGCTCTAAACCACGGGTGTCAAACTCGTGGGATCACTTTGCCATCACATGACATTTCTCAACATTTTTCCCTTCGCGGAGCTGCAGAGTAACTATGAAAAACAGTCATGTCACATTTTTTCAGTGCTGTTTTACTTTGAATGGTCACCAAACTGCTATAAGTCAAGGACTATCTGTATCACATAACCTGAATTACCTAGAGAAAAATCCTGGGCAAGTGTTCCCATAATAATTAGATTACATCTCTAACCAAATTGTTTGTACCCTTTTTGGATGTAATTGGAACAATGTCATTTGAACTCTGAAAATCATTGTTTGGCTTTATCTTTAGATTTCTGCTCATTTTATAATATTTTGAAAAATTGCCGAGGTCACAACATGGAGCAGTCAGTGTTCAGTGAGCGCACAGAGGAATCATCTGCTGTGCAGTACTTCCAGGTTGGTGACTTCAACAGTTGTTTTTTTTTCTGGTGGAGGGGAGGGAGGAATTGCATTAGCTCCTAGGGTCTACTGCTGAGGATCTGTTGTTGGATGTTTTTGAAAACAGACTGTAGAGGGCTAGCTAATGAAGAAATTGAGGAGGACTTTTTCTACTGGAAAACTGTAGATTCTTGATGTGCTTAAAAGGCAGGAAAATTACCAATACACAGCTCAGGGATCTGAACAGAAACTACAGATTCTTAAGTGCCAGGGTCTCAGATATGGGCCCAAGATTACCAGGTCTTGGGTGTTCAAAATAGAATAGAATGAGCTGGAAGGGGCCTTGGTGGTCTTCTAGTCCAGCCCCCTGCTCAAGCAGGAGAATCTATACCATTTCAGATAAGTGACTGTCCAGTCTCTTAAAAATACCCAGTGATGGAGAACCCATGATTTTTTCTTTTTATGTTTTATTAGATTTTTATTTCTAAATAAACATCAATACATGAATAGTGTGGCCCCGGGTATAATTCATTTTGATACAAACATCAATAATGATAATCATAATAGTTGTTATATTCATCATACTATATAAACTTAGTATTCACACACACACACACACACACACACACACACACACACACACACACACTTTCTAGCCATCCAATCTCATCCATTTTAATAATTCTTATTCATTTTTTTGGCTTGCCGCCCATACTCCCCTCTTGGATCTTTCTGTCTATCATCATCTGTATCTTCACCATTCTGACTGTATATTTCTCCCATCTCTATCCTCCTAAGCTGCCAGGTCTCCAAAATATCCACCAAGCCCCTATTCTCTTTCAAAAGTATTTTCCAGTTTATCCATTCTTCCATTCTTTCTTCTATCTCCTCTCTTTCCTGGACTCTTTGAACTTCATTCATCATCAGTTGTAGCATATTTTCTATTTTCCCATATATGCTTTGCATCAGGAACTTTATCTCTCTGTGATTCTTTTCCATATACCCCATATGCTTTGAAACATCAACACTATTTCTCTTAAAATCTCACTCCTTTCCCCTTGATGGAGCACCTTGTCTTAATTTAATAAGTCCCGCTCTTACTCAAGTCCAAAAGCAATGTATTCCAGTCCAGTGTTACTCCTCAGAAAGTTCAATAATCATAGTCCTTTACATCTCAGGATTATTAATCAATTCCATTTAAGTAATCTAGGAAGCTTCTGCAAGTCAAAAAATCACTTTGCTTTACTTAAAAGTCTTCCTTATTCTCATAATAGAGTCTCCAGTAATCATACAGTAGCTAGTTATAGAACAGTAAATGTCACCAGAGTCCTACAGGTGAATGTTATTTATTCCTCTCATCAAAAGATATTTCTAAACTTGTAGAGGTCTGGTATATTCCTTTCACCAGTAGATGATGCCCTCAGCTTAAGTTTCAGTGTTGTTTCAAGTCTTGTAGATTTAATTAATCCAAATTTAATTCAATTTATGGAAGCAAAGTCAACTATTCAAATAGATTCAAGTAGCTAATCCAGCATTTTATAATGCCTTTCCAGATCAACACTTGCCCAATTTAAAAGTCCAATTTTCTGTGTTTTAAAAGGTCTTTAGCTTTTTTCCCCGTAGTTCCTTTTCTTTCAGGTCTAGGATTTTTCTCTCTATGGTAGTTTGCCACTTTAAAAGATAGTCCTGAGAGTCTCTTTTCCTGGATTTTCCTCTTTCTTTTCTTCTTTAAAGTTAGGGTCTAACTAAAAAGGAATCTTCTCACCCAGCTCCAATCACTGTTTATCTGCACCACTTCTGCACATTTGTTTGTTGCCTCAGCTGTCTGAGGGAGAGGGAAGAAGCCCTGAGTCCAGCAGGAAAGTTGCTGCTCTCCCTAAACTGCAGGGCGCCCCTCTTTTCTTCACCACCCCTACAGGGTGGCTTTAGCTTCTTTCGGACCCCTCCAACAGGGAGAACTCGGCGTGCGGAGACCTCCTCCTCATGTCCGATATCACCATGAGGTCAGCTGGAAGTCCCAAAGCACCAACGATTTCTGAAGGCAAACTATTCCACTGGCTAATTGCCCTCACTGTTAGGAAGTTTCTCTGTAATTCCAGATTGCTTCTCTCTTTGATTAGTTTCCAACTATTGCTTCGTATCCTGCCCTCCAATGCTTTTGGAAAATAAATTGATCCACTCTTCTTTGTGGTAGCCCCTCAAAAACTGGAATACTGCTATCATGTCACCCCTAATTCTTCTTTTCTTTAGACTAGCCAGACCCAAATCCTGCAGCCGTTTTTCATATGTTTTAGTCTCCAGGACTTTGATCATCTTAGTTGCTCTTCTCTGAACTTTTTCTAAAGTCTCAACATCTTTTTTGTAGTATGGTGACCAAAATTGGTTGCAGTATTCCAGGTGTGGTCTTACTAATGTTTTATAAAATGGCACTAATACTTCAAGTGATCTTGATTCTATGCCTCTGGCATAGAACCCAGGATTGTATTAGCTGCTGTTGCATACAGCTGGCTCATATTCAAGTGATCATCCATTAGGACTCCAAGGTTCCTCTCACAGTTACTGTTTTGAGCCAGGTTTTGCCTAAATTGTACTTTTGATTTTTCCTGCCTAAATGTAAAACTTTGCTTTTCTCCAGATTAACATTCATTTTGTTAGATAGTTCAAGTTTGTCAAGATATTTTTGGATCCTGAGCTTGTCTTTTGGGGTATTGGCTATTCTTGCCAGTTTAGTGTCATCTGAAAATTTGATGAGTTCCCCTTCTATTCCCTCATTTAAGTCATTTATTAAGATATTGAAGAGTACTGGGCCTAAGACGGAATGTTGTGGAGCCCTACTGCTTACTTCTCTCCATGTAGATGTAATACCATTAAGAACTACTTGTTGAATACATTTTATCAGCCAGGTACAAATCCATCTGGTGGGGGTGCTGTCTATCCCACATTTTTCTAACTTACAAAAAAGTAGGTTGTGGTCTACTTAGTCCAATGCCTTGCTGAAGTTTAGGTGTACTATGTCCACAGCATTTCACTGGTCTACTAATTTAGTGACTTTATCAAAGAATAAAATAAGATTGGTTTGGCATGATCTGTTTTTAAACGAACCTTTGCTGGCTACTGGTTATAACTTTTATTTGCTTCTAGTTGCTCCCAGATCTGTTTTTTTTTTTATTATGTTTTCCAGTATCTTTCCAGGTATTGATGTTAGACTGGTTGGTCTGTAGTTTCTTGGGTCTATTTTTTCCCCTTTCTTGAAGATGGGAACCACATCAGCCTTTTTCCAATCCGCAGGTACTTTTGTGGTGCTCAGGATTTTGGAAAGATATAATGGTTCTGAGATACATCTGCCAGCCCTTTCAGAACTCTGGGATGTAATCTGTCAGATCCCGATGATTTATATTAATCAAGATCCGATAGGTGTTCTCTTACCATTTTCTTGGTTATTTTAATTTTTGTTTCTAGTTTCTCTTCTAACAGTAGTTTTTTGGGGATGTTGGGCTACAATTTATTTTTGTGTGAAGACTGATGCAAATAATTAGTTAAGCAGCTCTGCTTTTTCCCTCCTGCTTGTTACTTCCTTGCCATCTTCTCTCTTTAGTGGACCTACTGTTTCCTTGACTTTTTTCTTATTAATAAGTTGAAAGAAACTTTTTAAATTATCTTTGACTTGCAAATCTTTGTTCATTCTGAGCCTTTGCTTTCCTAACTTCAGGTTTATATGTTCTAGCTGTCTATTGATAATTAGCCTTAGTTATGTGTCCCTCATTCCATTTTTTTAACCTGTCCTTTTTGTTTTTCAGTCTGTCAGAGAAATCTTTGTGCAGCCATGCTGGTTTCTTCTTGAATTTCTTGTTTTTCTTTTTCAGCAGTATTGTGCTGCACTGGGCTTTTATGATCGAATTTTTCAGAGTTTCCCATGCTTCTTTAGTTGTTTTTCCTTTAGGATTTTTATCTATGGAATCTTTCCTTAGCTGTCTCTGAGTTTGTTAATATTAGCTCTTTTAAAATTTAAGACACTTGGTTGAATTATTTTCTGTTGCTTGTGTTTGCATTATACTGAATTCCATGGTCACTCCCTCTATCACTTCTTCTCTATTAGTAAGAATTAGGTCCAATATAGATTTTCCTCTAGTTACCTACTCTACCTTTTGGATGACAAAGTTGTCGGTTAGGTTGATTAGGAATCTATTTGATCTCCCACTGCAGAGTTTGTCTCCCAGTTGATATCTGGATACCTAAAGTCTCCCCTTACTACTATGGTATGCTTCCTACATACATTTGTTAACTGGTTGGCAAAGAGTTCATCTATTTCTTCCTATTGGTTGGGTGGCCTGTAATATATATCTATGGCAGTGTCCCTTTTTTCTCTCCTATATTGACCCATATGCATTCTGGAGAGGTTTATCTTTGATCATGTGCATTTCTGTAGTGATTTCTTACATATCTATCATATCATATGGTAGTGAGCATTTTCTAAAATTATAGCATTCCTTTGTGTGAGTGAACACGTTGGTTTTAGCAGAGACTTTTTGTTTCTTCTTTCAGTTTTATGGATATTTATCCCAACAGCAAAATATGATGCAGGATTATGTCCGAACAGGCACATATCAGAGAGCAATCCTGCAAAACCACAGTGATTTTAAAGATAAGGTATGGCTAAAGTTTAATAATGCCTTAAGTGTAACCAATGAAGATTTCTTCTGAATATTGCATAATTGGTAAAGGGTAAGACTGAATTTACATATTGTAAAATATGTTCAAATATCATATCTAAGTCACATTATTCTTCAGCTCAGAATATGCTGCTTTTTCTAACTGGAAATGATGGAACCTTGAAAGTTTGAAAAAGAAGGATGTGGTCTGATTTAGTAACATAGGGATAGTATGAGAGCGCCCCCCCTCCCCCCAGTTTCTCTCAAATAAGGTACTGTGAGCAGGAAAATCTTGATGGTGGCCTGCAGCTAACCCTAGGTGAGAATCAAAAGGCAGGGTACATAATTTGGGATTTCTAATAAACCATTGCTATAAATTGAATTACTGATAGTGCTAGTAACCAGAGTATAGGCATTGTCAGCTTCCATTTGTTCATCAACTACACTGTTTTCTAGACATGACTATTCCATAATTATTAATGCCCTAATTACAAATATTTTTAATTGGTACAGATCTCCTAATCTGGTGCCCATCAGATTCATTGGACATTAATTCTCAGAACGTGTACGAGCATTCAAGTTGTATGTTCTTCAAAGCAGTTTTTCTGCTTTGGATCCAAATAGCTGCATATGTTTAATAAATACACTAATACCATAAACAAATTTAGAACTCTGAGCATTGGAATCAGAGCATTTGGATATAAGATCCATTCTTCAAAATGTAACTGTCAGTAAGGATGGCTTAATTTAACTTACATATTTAGTATTTAATAAATATTTAATACATTGTAAGACTACATTTTATAGAAAAGATTTTACTGATATTTAGTTTTTGTGATTTTATTGATCTGATTTTTCCTTCAGATTGTATTAGATGTCGGCTGTGGTTCTGGCATCCTGTCATTTTTTGCAGCCCAAGCTGGAGCCAGAAAAATTTATGCAGTGGAAGCAAGCACAATGGCTCAACATGCAGAGGTTAGTGTAAGACACCCACACTGGCTGCTTCATTCAGTGACCACAATCCCAGTTCTCCTGTTGTGGTTGTTAAATTACCATACAAGGGGTATGTCAAGATGTGAGAGGCCTTGGAAGATCCGGCTCCCACTGGCACATGGAAATTTTCCACGGGTTGAAAGGCCTTGGCTGGCTAGGCCTAACTACATGCAGGCCTCCTCCTTTCTCACTCCCAGAAGGCCTCAGCCAGCTAAACCCACTGGCACACAAAAATGTGCTTTGTGCTGGAAGGCTTCAGCTGGCTGGGCCCAGTGGCATATAGGCTTCCTCCTTCTCAGCTCCCACTTCCGAGAAACCTGACCTACTTCCCCCCACCCCAATACTACTGTCCTTCTCTCTCCTCCGCCAAGCCTGGGTACACTTCCCTTTTTTTGATGAGAGGCTCAGCTAGAAAGCTAGTGAATTCAAACTTAGTATGCTCCTGTATCTAAAGCAGCACTTTCTTTCTAATTATTAGCTATTTCAAAACCAATTTCTTGTAAATATCTATGGAATGACTGCTTTCTAATTTTTCCCTCTTTCTATCCAGGTTTTAGTGAAGAGTAATAATCTTACTGATCGAATTGTGGTCATTCCTGGGAAGGTAGAGGAAATCTCACTTCCAGAACAGGTGGACATCATTATTTCTGAGCCAATGGGCTACATGCTTTTCAATGAACGAATGCTGGAGAGTTACCTGCATGCCAAGAAATATTTAAAACCTAGTGGTAAGTAACTTTTTTTTTTTCTTCTGTTCAGTTGTGTTCAATTCTTGGAGACTGTCTGGAGAAGTCCCTGTAGTTTTCTTGGCAATGTTTTTCAGAAGTGGTTTGCTGTTGTCTTTTTCCTAGGGCTGGGAGAATGTGACTAGGCCAAGGTCACCCAATGATAGTGAAATAAAGGGAGGAGAAAGAGGAGCTCTCTTGGCCTATTAGCTCAGGATGGTATTAGGAATTCTGATAGTAGGCATTGTTCAATTAGTTAACATAGTGTGATGACCCAGAACGTAACACAAACGTAACAAAATCCAAAACGTAAATAAATGTCCTTTAATGCCTCCAACTTGGCCCCACTGTTCAATAATACTCAGTTGGAGAGAAAATGTACTCAAAAATGGTCTTCAAAAGAAAGCAATACAGTCCGAACTTAATGAGCAGATAGAGGTGAAATAAGAAAACGTACTCAAAAATGGTCTTCAAAAGAAAGCAATACAGTCCGAACTTAATGAGCAGATAGAGGTGAAATAACAAACCAAACAAACTACAATGATGAAATTTCCACAACGGAACAGGAGAAGTATTTACCAAAATCAAGGAGATAACAAGGCACAGGCTGTTGGAAGGATGCCAACCAAGATAACTTCAGACCAAAATAAAACACGCTTTGTTCCAGCGTTTGCCAGTACACAGGTCCAAACTCTTATTCAGTTCTCACACCTACAGCTCATGAAGAGGATCAAGACCCTCTCCTCCCGAGGAGACCATGTCTCTCCCTTATCCTCTCCTCCCTGCATGCCCTAGGATGGATAGGGGATGGGCCTGGGTCCTCCTCTGACTGCTCAGCTGGCTCTGCCCTCACCCAGTCTCCAACACAACCTCCGGAGCCACACTTCCACTCCCTGTCAGCTGTTCCTCCTCTCCCTCAAAGTCAGTCTCCACCAGGGGCATGGCACATAGGTTAGTAACCATAAATCTATTAGATACTGTTTTGGCTACCTCTTTTGGTGGGAAATGGGAATCACTTCTTATATGTTTCTCTTAATTCTGGAAAGTCAATATCATTAATGAAACTGATCTGGTTTCTTCGCTTTGTTCTGGATGGTGTCTAGACCAGAGGGGATACGACTGGTCATAAGTCAGGAATTTGGATATGTGCTGCTAATTGGTTACATGTAGGCTCCTCCAACAATAGCATTTATCAAATCAGAATTATATATGACAGTAACACTGGTTATATTCTCATCATTCACTAACTACCTTCCTGCTGTATTATTACAAGTAGTTATTAACTTTCAACAACAATTGGGACTAGAATTTCAGTCATAACTCATGACAGTCATAGGTTGGAGTATCCACTTACAATTGTTTTTATGGCAGTCATTAGACAAATAAGTTAAACAAACAATGCAGTTATAAGTCTGAATCCATTCTTGGCCATGTGACTGTGAGGGGACAGGTGGTATGATATTGTTTGAAGAACAAGTTGTAACTGAACAAGTTGTTAAATGACCAGTTGTAAGTCAAGGACTGCTTGTATTGACACTTTTTTAAATAGTGAGTCATATCTGATATACTATTAAACAGTGAGTTTCAGTCATACATTTGTTCACTGGTATGATAGAATAAAGTAGCAATAGCTCTTAGAATGGAGAATTTATAGCTAGCACAAGCCAAAATAGCTCATTGGAAGAGTATTCGTCTGAAGATCTAAAGGTTTTCACTTAGAGAGCCAGTTCAGGATAATAGTTAAGGTAACAGGCTAGAAAACAAGAGACCAGGATTTCTAGACCCATTTTAGGCACAAAGCTTCTTGATTGTTATTGGACCAGCCAGTTTTTTTCATCTCTAGGAAGAAGGCAATGACAGGCTGTTTCTGAAAAACCTTGTCAAGAAAACTGCAGTCCAGGGAGTCTCTGAGAATCAGACACGATTGAATGGAAGAAAAAAAATCTAGATATTTTACTGTTTTCTCAATCTGAAAATGAGTTTGTGCAATAATTTATTTTTATTTTCCATCTTCATATTTTGTTAACATCTTCAGAGGACAGATTAAATCCAGCTAATGTACAAAATTGCTTGAACTCTTCCATTAATACCTCAATTATTCCATAGGCTTTTCCAAAATTAAAACCAAAGTGTCTGCAAATGCCCTTGGTTTATATATTTATGTATTGTTTGTTTGAAGACAGACTTTAGTGTGATTAATTCGTTGGAATGGCAGAAATTGATAAGGTGGTGTTCTGCTTTATTTGGTTTTCCTAAGTCTTATACTCCAAATACATTTTCCTCATGAATGTTTCCAAGTTTTGCATTACAGTCATGAAGTAGCACATCTTGCTTGCATTTTCTCTCAGTTTTATTTTATTTTTTTTAAATATAAACTTTACTCAGTTTTCCAACCATTTAAAAACATAGAAAAACAATTGCATCAATGTTGAAGACATCATTTACATTTCTTAACCATATTCTTATACTTAATTTTCTATTACATTGCAATTATTACATATTACTTTTTCTATTAATTCTCTATTCCTTACTCCTTGCTTATACCACTTGTTACATAGTACATTTTCTGTTAATTCTACATTCAGTATATATAGCTTCATATTCTTTAAGTAATTACAATATTACTTTTCTTTCTATTCTCAAAAAATATATACCAGGTGTCCCAGACTGAATAATGTATCGATTCCTCTCTATCCTTTAACTCTAAAGTCAGCCTGTTGATTTCTGTGCAGTCTAGAATTTTCCTTGTCACTGCTCCCTCTTGTGGTATATCTCCCTGTTTCCAGTGCAATGCAGCAGTTGTTATATGTAAAATAATATATCTGTCAGTCTTGCTATATTCTCCCTTACTTATGCCTAATAGGAACAGTTCTGGTCGAAATTCAGTTTTTTGCTTTGTTATTTCTTCTAACCACTTTCGAATCTTACTCCAGTATTTTTTTTTTGCTTCTGAGCAGGTTCACCACATATGAAAGTATGTACCCTGTTTATTCTTGCATTTCCAGCATTCTGGGTTTTGGTTTGCAAACATCTTTACCAAACTGGTGGGGGGTTGATGCCACCTATGAAACATTTTGTACATATTTTCTTTACACACTGTAGATAGTGTTAGTCTATAATTTCCCCCCCACATTCTTTCCCAATATTCCAATTGTATATTATGTCCCACATTTTTCGCCCAGGCTACCATCGTTTCTTTAACCACCTCTTCTTCCTTTTTAAAGTTCAAAAGAAAGTTATATAATTTAGATACCATCTTTTTCTCTGTTCCTTGGATAATTTTATCGAATTGTAGTTGGTTCATGTAAAATCCATATTCTTCCTTATCTTTTTTGTACCTTGCTTGTACCTGCATGTAAGGCCACCAGTCAGTGTCTATATTTTGCTGTTTTAATTCCTGTATTGTTTTTAATTTTCCTTGTTTATCAAGCAAATCCTTGTAATTCCTCATTTTAGCCAGATCCATTGCATTTGGTATATTAATGCCTCCATCGTCCACAGCCAACTTGGTATATTAGTATAGTGGTCCTTCTTGATTTTATCCCACACTTGAATAAGTGCATCCCTAATTTGATGCCTTTGAAAGTAGGCGTGTTGTTTTTTTCCCTTCCATAGAAAACTATGCCACCCTCTTTGCAGGTTATGTCCTTTTATTAGTAATATCTTTTTATTCTCTAGGTTGATCCAATCTTTTATCCATACCATAGCTGCCGCCTGATAATATATCTCCCAATCTGGAAGTCCAAAGCCACCCCTTTCTCTTTTATCCTGCAACAGTTTCATTTTAATTCTAGCTTTTTCCCTGGCCCAAACAAATTTAGTTATTTTATTTAAACCCACCCCACCCCCCCAAAAAAATCTGTTATATTTTCTGTCCATGTGGGTTTTTTTTAGTAAAGGTACAGGAGTGATTTAACACTGCCTTCTTCCATGCAGTATGAATGGATCCCTTTGCTGTTGTCACTAAAATGCCTCCAGCATTTTCTTATATCGTTTCTGCCCAAAGTAGATATTTGCTTGCTTTCACTAGGCAGCTAGGATGACCTTAATGCTTTGGATGATCCTGATGAGAATATATAGATTTGGCATACACTCCTGACATCCCTCCCAGAAACATACAAATACCCCTGGCCACAGTGAGGCAGATAACAAATAATCAGAGTTGGAAGGGACCTTATAGGTCATCTAGTCCAACCCCCCACCCAAGCAGGAGACCCTACATCATTTCGGACAAATGGCAATCCAATCTCTTCTTGAAAATCTCAAGTGATGAAGCTCCCACACCTCCTGAGGGCAAGCTGTTCCATTGGTTGATTTTTCTCAAAGTTTCTCCTTATTTCCAGGTTAAATCTCTCCTTGTTCAGCTTCCATCCAATATTCCTTGTCTGGCCTACAGGCGCTTTAGAAAGCATGGCAAGACTTGGTAGAGAAGCTAGTTTTTAATCAAAGTAATTATTGGAACCTGCTGCATCCTGCTTCTAACCTGTTTCTACTTCATTAATAGAAATTTAACCTGTTCTATTAAATGAGTCTCCTGTAGATAAGCAGTATTTTCAATGAATGATTTTAAATATGCTAGGTTTATGAAGATTTTTTAGATTCTTGCAGTTTTTTTATATTAAGAATAACTTCATCCATAAATTCTATTTTGGTCCATTTATCAGTATTCTCCCAATACCAGTACCCTTCTCGTATTAAAAAACCCTCCAAAGATGTAATGAACATTCCCTTATACAGTATTTGAATGATCTTAGATTGCTTTCAAGTTGATCAGCACTCAACTGCTGGAATTGGCTATTACAATTATTGTATAGCACCATAATTGTCTAGCACCATAATTTTTTAATTAATAAGATTAACAAAAATCGGTAGTGGTGATCCTCTGTATGGTGCTTTTACTTATGCCCATATACTTATATCTTATTCTATACATATAATTTTTGAAAAGAAAGAATGATGAGTAATAGGAAGAAACATCAATCCTTCATGAAAAATAACCATTCCCATTTGAAATAGCCAGGGCTTCAGGTTCAGTTTTGAAGCACTGATTTGATTAAACTTGATTGTCTATCAGTCCCTTTCTGTGAGGCTGTTCCTATTGATGTGCTGTGGCTGTCTTTCAAGTGCTTTGGTCAGGATGCAAAGAGAATTTGGGGTTCTAAGCAAAAATATACCGGGGGTTTCAAACCTTTTCAAATGGACTACTCAGATTTTACCAAAACATTTTGGTGGTGGGCCATTTCATGAATAGAATTCTCTTGAATTGAACATTTTCAGTAAGTAGAATAGCCTATTTTATGTTAATGCTTTAACTTGAAATGTTTTCCATACTTGTAATTTTGTACCATTAATAGTACAAGATAGCTTTACTAGGTGAAGTCAAGAATACATATTGTATGCAAATTTTTGAGTTCCTTCGAATTTGCCAGCCAGTATGTTAAACAAAAACAAAACAAAAATGAGGTGGGATAGAATTTTAATTTGATTTGTTAACTTGCTTTTATTCTGTTTTGATATCTTATCAGTCTTAATAATTGACCTCCTGTTTTGTTTGGTTTTTAAAACATATTTGATTAAACTTCAGAGATTTTATTGAAATTGAAAAACAAGATAAAATGTTTCTATTCAAAAAATCAAATAAAACTATAAATATATGTTGTCTTCTGCTCCATTTCAGGAAATATGTTTCCAACTATTGGCGATGTCCATCTAGCCCCATTTACAGATGAACAGCTATACATGGAACAGTTCACAAAAGCTAACTTTTGGTGCGTCTTTTCTCTTTATCCCACAAAAACCAGATACTTATACTTCAAACTTCCCCACTTGGGTCACCCCAAATATATAAGATTTGACATGTATGAAGAGGAGCTATGGAATTTGTTGCTGTAGTGTTGAACAACATGAACAATCTCTGGTTTCATTTGAACTTGGTGCTGCCTGTTCTGCCTACTTTAGTTAAGTAGCAGGCAGGTTTTTCTGGGTGTTCTGCACTGCCATAGCTATCTTTCCAGAATGTTTTTTTTTTCAGATGAAGCCAATGTATGTGCGACGTGTTTCTTTTCAAATCTTGCATCAGTTTCCTCTTGAATTTCTTTAATATTTAATATTTTGTTTTATATTTTTCATCTTATCAGTTGGTGGTATCTTATATTGTAGGTATCAGCCATCTTTTCATGGGGTAGATTTGTCAGCACTCCGAGGTGCAGCAGTAGATGAATATTTCAGACAGCCTGTTGTGGTAAGTTGGATTATTCCCATAACACTTTGGAGGTTTGTCAGTAGTTGAAATAATTAACCTGTGATACCATGCAGTGGAGGCCATACATATGCAACAGTCTAACCACAGACATTGTGCTAACATGCATTCAAAGCTGTGTTGGCATGAATATTAACCATGGTGGTTCTAATCCTAGATATAATTGTTTGATTAGCAGACAGTTTCCTCATTCTTGGCCCATGTTCAATAAATAGCACCTTTCCCTCACACAGAATAACTAAATTCACTAGTATTTGTCCTTTTGTCATTAATCAAAAGTTGGCTGGAATTCTTCAGGCAAGGCTTCACCTCAAATATCACTTTATGATTTTGAACACATTTATAAAAATCTTTGAAGTTCTTTGAGAAGAACTTTCATCTGACTCATACAGAAACTTGATACAAGTCCTCCTCCCCCTTAAGGTTTTACAAAGAAGCAGACAATGTGTGAGAGAACTTTTTTTCTGTTAAGAACTTCATGCCCTTTGGTTCAATGTTTACAGATTCATTGTGTCATACATCCCATTTAAACTAATTAGCAAAGAAAGACTTCTGGTTCAGTTCTTTTTCCAAGAGTATCCTGAACTGATTATAAAGCGGTTACAGAATAGAGCACAGAGAATCTGTTGGCTAGGTGTAATAACATTGTAATTAACCTTCCTTTTTCCCTCTTCAACTCCTCTATAATCAGTCACTGTCCAATTGAAACTTCTCAGGTAGTTTTAGAAACAGACATATGTTTGAGCTTTTTCCATTGCCGCATTCTTTTTTTTTTGCATAAAGTTTTTTATTTCATAACATATAAAAGTTCAATTTTTAGTTAAACAGTGTGTTGTCTGGGTACAAATAGTTTTAGGAAATAATCATCAAAGTGTTTACAACAATGTTCACTACATTGATATTCATTTTATCATAATGATCATAATAATAATACTGATACTTGCTTATCCATTTTAACAAGCCTCTCTTTTTTCATTGATCTTTTTCTTCTATTTCCACGTTTCTAACTTCTGTTTTTGTCACCTAACCATGATAAAATAAGTCCAAGTCAAAACATATTCAGGTTCTTCCTTTTCCTTAATTGTAAGTGTTAATCTATCAATTTCTGCACATTCTAATATTTTTAATCACATTTTCATCTCTTCACTTTTCCATTGTTGTGCAAATATATTTCTGGCTGCAGTAAATTACATGTAAAATCAAATATGTATTCTCCTTGTCATACTTATCCGGTTACATGCCCAACAAAAATATTTCTGGTTTTAAATCAATATGTTGCTTTAGTATTTTTCCAACCATGTATGTATTTTATCCAATATTTTTTTGTTTTTGGACATGTCTACCACATATGATATTATGAACCAGGTATCTGATGGCATTTCCAACATTTAGCAGACATATTCTTAAACATCTTTGCCTACCTTGAGGGTGGGAAATGCCATCAATGAAACATTTTATAAAGATTTTCATTATATGCAGTTGACATGATTAATTTATAATTTCTATTCCACAGTTTCTGCCATTTTAGCCCATACTATCATTGTCTCCTTTACTCACTCATCTTCCATCTTGATACTTAGTAAATAGCTATATATTTCTTTTATTAGTTTTTTATCTGTCCCTGTTAGTATTTGATCTAATTCTGTTAATTCTTTATAAAAACCATTCATTTTAGCATCCTTCTCATATTGAGATTGTATCTGCATTTGTGGTCACCATGCTATGTAAATCTTGCTTAGTTTTCAGTTCCCCATTTTCATTCAAGATATCTTTATATCTGGTAATGTTTTCCATATCAGTTACATTTGGGTGAGTCAGTGGAGAGCCAGACTGGTTTTTTCAAATAGTGTTGTTCTTTAATTTTTTCCCATACTGATAATAATGCATTTCTGAGGTAATGTCTTTGGAAATAACTATGTAGCTTATTTTTCCCATACCATAAAAAGGTATGCCAACCCAATTGAAGGTCATGTCCCTTCAAAGTCAATAATCTTTTGTGCCTCAGACCAATCTATTCTTTCATCCATATAAGTACTGAGGCCTGGTAATACAACTCCCAATATGGCAGCCCAAAGCCCCCTCTGTTTTTAGCATCTTGCAGCATTTTCAAATTTATCCTTGCTTTTTTTCCTTTGCCAAATAAATCTTAATATTGTTTTATTTAGTTCTTCAAAATATTTTCCAGTTTTATTGGTATTGTTTGAAATACAGTAGATATAATAGTCTCAGTAAAATATTCATTTTTATAGTAGCTATTCTTCCTGTCAACAATTGCAAGGTTTTCCACTTCTACATCTGTTTTAATTTATTGAGTCAGTTTATAGTAATTATCTTCTTTAATGGTTGCACATCTTGACACTAGTTGGATTCCTAGGTATTTAACTTTCTTGACTATCTGAATACCTGTAAGATTTTTAACTAAAATTTTAGTTTTTTCTTTATTTTCAATCCTGCAACTTCACCATGTTTCTCCCATGAGCTGTTCAGAGTAGTGGGGGGTGCTTCAGTCTCTGCATGTCTAGGCTGGGCTTAATTTGTGGAACGCTCCGACTCCTCCACGGGACTCCTCCACAGGACTCCTCCCCAGGGTTCCCCAGTTTTGGCTCAGCCTTGTGAGAGATAGGCAGTGCTTGTGATTCTTCCTTGGCCAAAACAGGAAAAATTCTTTCCTTGCTAGCAGGTTTGAAAGTTAATCAGCTTGTCTTTAGAATCCTTTAGCCTTCTAATTGCATTGCGATCTCTCGATGTTGGCTCGCATTACAGAGATCACTCACATTACAGGGAAGCGCCAATTCGTGCCCCAAAGTGGCGGGAGGCTTTGGCGCTGTTCCGCGCCCTCTCCCCACAACCGATCTTTCTACCCCTGCCATTCCGACAGATTGCCACAGAGTTTCTTTTACCGGAACAGCGGTGTGAGCTCTTTGCTCCCAACAGAGTCGTATCGCTTTCCTTCCCCCTCTGAACGCCACTTGGGGTGGAGATACAAATGCTTAGTGCCTTCCACCCTCTCCCGCCATTTAGCCTTATAGGAAAAGCCATCAGAGGCTATTCCTTCATGGGAGTTTGCTGCTGGGGAGGGCGCCAAAAGATTAATGGCCGGAGGCCATCTTTTCTCACAAGACCTCATAGCCGCGTGCCTGTATTCCATTTTGTGCTGTGTGAGGTAACTCTGTCCCAAGCAGAGGTTCCCTTCAGGAACACTGGGGACCATTATACCCTCGACTTGGTTTTTTTCTACATTCGAGGCTATTCTTACAGTTAAATTGTTGGCTTAATCCTCACAGCCCAATCAACCCAGCGGCACAACAGCGAGCACCTAGGCCTGTGTCCGCCTGTGCAGGGAAGCTGTTGAAGGCCTCTACCCTTATCAATCTAGACCTTTAGGTGTTCTCAATTTGGCTGTTTGGTTTCTCAGCACTTAACATCGTACTACTTAATTAATATTCATACACATATTGCCATATATATATATATATTTTATATATATATATATATATTTGTTTTCTGAGGTTCTCGCGGGTATTTGTATGTGGATCTTTGGTTATCTTTGGTTATTCGGGTTTTCTCCCGCGTAAGATTGGCAGTATTTAGGCAACGTTTCGATGAAGTCTCATTCATCATCTTCAGACTTGTGTCTTCGGCTCTGTGCTTCTCAGAGTGATGTGAGCTTGCAGCTGCTTCTTCCTTTTAACTGCTAGTGGGGGTGTGACTTGATTGGGTGGGGGCTTGGCTGTGTTCTGATTGGGTGGGGGGTGTTCTCATTGGTAGGGGTTTGGCTGTGTTCTGATTGGTTGAGGGGTTGGCAGCCAACCCCTCAACCAATCAGAACACACACACACACACACATATATGTTCTGTCTCACTTGTAGCCACAAGTGAGAGTCCAAATGTCCCAAAGAAATAAACACGAACAAATAATACCAGAAACCACAGAGTTAACTTGTCTCTATAATCGTCGTTGGCAGCTTTCCCAGAAACTGTCTTCAAGCCGAGATAACGCAAGATAAATCAGGAACAGGAACAGAGGGCTTCTTCAAAGCTGTGCAGTAATTAACGAAGTTGATCTGGACAAGGATCGTTAACTAGCATGCCTCCTTATATTCCTTGAAGGGGCGTGTCAGTCTCTCTAATTAGTCTCTGACTTGATGTTTCTTTTCAAATTGTGCTTGACGTCTCAACCTGCGTCTAGTCCTTGCATCAACCCAACATTCGTCATCACTAAAGGACTCTGGTATGTTCTGTGGATCAGCTGCTGACACCTGAGGCATGATTGACATGGAAGGTTCTGGAGAGGATGGTGTTCCGACACTCCCTCATCCTCCTGGCTCACGTCTGCATCTCTCATTAGAGCAGGTGCCAATTCCAATGCCAAACCTTCCTCATCACTCAAGCCTGTGTCTGATACATCAGACTCAAAACTCACAGCAGACTCAAACCTTCCAGTCACAACATACATACATACATACGTGTATATATATATATATTTATTTATTTATTAGTGGTTATATAATAATACAATAGTAATAGTAATGATAATAATAATAATTTTCTCTTTGGTATAATATTTTAATATCAATAAAATATTATTACTGAGATACGACTCATTATAGATGGGTATTATTCAAAAAAAGGGGGGGGGGAAGGGGGCAATAAAAACATCATCAGGGAAACCAGTCTGTCATCAGATCAGGACCCTGGGCGTGCCAACTGCCTTCACAGTATTGCATTGTATAACAAGCATACTGCAATTCCAACTTCAATCGAAATGGCAGACGGTAGCAGCTCTCAGACCTCATCCTTGAAGGTCAATCTTCTGATCCTCAAGCAGTCAGAGATACTCAGAACACATTACAATCCCTACAACAACACAGGTTCTCAATAAATTGGAAAAAGAGTTATTTAACACCATCGACTCGGTTAACCCATCTGGGGGTTAACCCATCTATGGTGGAAGGCAAAATTTACCTGTCACCAGATAGACT